TTCTTCATATTCATTTTTAAATTGTCGGATGTTACATCTAGAATGGAAGTCATTTCATTTTCAGATAATAGATTATCAGGAGATCTTCCCAATGGTTTATGCAATGATCTCCCAATACTCAAAGAGCTTAATTTATCCAGAAACAAGCTTGATGGTCATATGCCTACAAGCTTGTCAAATTGTTCACAACTTCAAATATTGTCTCTATCCGAAAATGAGTTTGATGGACCAATACATAGTGAAATTGGAAGATTGAGTAACTTGCAGAAATTGTATATCGGATATAACCATTTCACAGGTATATATGTTTTATCTTACTAGAAGATCTGGGAACGTGCTTTGCACGTTTATCCCAAAATACTTCATATAAATTTTGTATTGCAAAATTCATCATTTTTCGATAGGAACTACATGTAGCTTCCTAATTAAAAAATTATACTTTTAACTATAAAATTGACTAAAAGTGCATAAAGTAAAAATAACTAACTATTGCACAAATTCAATATTCAAATGAGGATACTAAAATACCACATGATAAGCTAATGTATACAAAGCAAAAAATCATGGTAAATTCTCAATAATAATAACAACACAACAATAGAAAGTTGTACAATAACAACAGACAAGAAATATAAAGGTTAAACTAAACAAATAAAAAGAGACAAGAGAAGAGAGCATAGAGATTTTCTCATGTTTTTTTTTAATTGGTTTAAGTGGGTACATTATTGTGTCAAGTGTCACTATTTATAGGATAGCATTAAGGAACACAAAGAGTTTGTCATAAATATGATATTAGTCCATTTGAGATTATCGATGAGAGATGAGAGTAAAAAACATAATGAATATAATTAGTGGGTGTTACATACATTACATAATAATGAGTTTGTGTTAATTTATGTATATTAATATGATGATTTACTATTTACTATTTAATTTATTATACAATTTATAACATTTAAATGTAATGTTGAAATAAATCTGTAGTCTAAGGATAAAATATGTAAAAGAATTCAAATATTTTAAATGTGTAATGAAAAATCACTATGATTAATTATTAAAAAATTCATAGTAACTATGATTATGAAAAATCATCACTATTACTACGTGGAAGATGTAAAGATTGTTGGTTCTTTCTTGCTAATAATAACTTGCAATTTAATAATGTGTATTGAATTGTAAGTTTTGGAAATAGGAGTATTAATTACCATAATACGAACAGTCAAAATTCATTGAATCCCGAAATAAATATTGAATGATTTTTTTTAAAAAAAAAATTCAAGAAAATAAATTAATACTTAAAGGATATTTTTGTAATTCAACTTTTGACTTAGATTCTTCCCACTTTTAGTATTATACTAGTTTTGGGAACGTGCAACGCACGTTTGTCCCCTATTACTATATAAAATTTGTAGCCAGTATAAAATCCTCACTTATAAATTTAAAATTATATATTCATCCACATGAACATAATTTTTGTCAGACTGTATACATACTTGTTAAAGGAGTAGATATTATGTCCCAATTTCTTGAATTTGTAAACTAGGTATTCATTACTATTATCGAAATGCTAGATTCTCTGGCTACACAAGAAATAAAAAATTTAAGACTGTCAAGAAAAATGATAATAGAAAAAGGAAAAAATTTAAGTCAACATCTAATCTCATTGTATGTGTATAAATAAGAGAGTGTATTTAATTCAAGAAAGCACACTATTTTTCTTTGATTTGGAGGAGGAAAATCAAAGAACCAATTTAACCACTGTATATTTTCTTGGACAATTTCAATAGAAGTGAAGGCAATGAACCAGTTTCCATCTTCTTGCTCCTGCTCTTTCAAGCATAGGAATTCCATTTTTATAAATATTACTAGTTTTCAGGTACATGTTGCACGTTTGTCCCTTACTATAAAATTTCTTTATACTAAAAAGTTGAGTTATAAAATAGGAAATGCTGAAATTAACAATAGTAGTTTTACAATTTATATTTTATTCACTAAATAATAAAAAAATATACTATGAAGAAGAACATTGAATAGATGATATACTCGAGCATTTTTTGTTATCCTTCATTTGAAGTTTCTCATTCTCGTTTCTTCTCATGTTGAATTGTGCAATTTTCTTCCTATGATAACATCAATCTTTGTAAATTGATTTTTAAAAAGCATATTGAAATTTTAATTCCGAAAGTGTTTTTACATAATAGTGGAGAAATGATTCTTTCATATTCAACTTTCAATTTTTAAAAATTATGGGTATGAGTAATAATTAACATTCAATAATTAGGCAGAAGAATATCACATTCTCTTAAATAAAATAATATCTCTAAGGCAAAAGTAGACATTCTAATTTGGACAATTACTACTTAACTATTTATGGGTCCAACCAATAATCTGGAGATTGGAGTTTGACAATATTCCAACCATAGTTAAAATTTTACATCAACGATAAATAGCTTCTCATCACAGTAAATAGACGTTTGATGCATACAATTTATAAGTTCTAAAAGACCTCATCAATTTGGTACATATGCAAATGATATAAACACTTGATATATTAAGAAACACACTTGCAGTCATCACTATAATTATTATGTCAATTATTTTTATTATTATATCACATATACATCTTCTTTTTAACCTTAGAGAAGTACTGTACATATGATTTATGAAGAGAAAAGAATAATACTCTTTTTTCATAAAATTTCTCTTTGAATAATTAATATAAATTGAGCAACACAAACTTTTCAAAAGACTTATTCTAGATATATGGTCAATTTGAGGAATGAATATTTCCACAAATAAATAATAGACTAATAAGGTCAATAGATTATACAATATAAATGAAAAGTTAAATAAAAATACAGCTTCAAAATCAAATACTATGATCCATCCTTTATCTCCAATTTGGTGGCCCCTTTTATTTTAGGGTATGGATTCTTTTTTTAGTTATTCCTCTCTCTACTAATAAATAATAATCTCGAAAATATATTTATACTAAAGTAAAGCACTCTATTGAGAGTGGCATATCAAATTAATTGATTAATCTTTCATTATGAATTTCATTAATAATTAAGAAATATAGTAGAATATGAATTGTATATCACTAATTTCTTCATGTAAGACACAAGATATTCCAATAGAAAAACAAAATCATAAGAAACTATATCAAAAAAAAAAAAAATATATATATATATATGATAAATTCTAGTACTATTGTATATAATTAATCTTTTTTATTACACAATAAAATAAATGCAGGGATAATTCCACAAGAAATCGAAAATCTTGCTAATTTGGTGGAATTAGGCATGGAGAGAAACCAGATAACCGGCTCTATCCCGATCTCCATATTTAATATTTCATCGTTGCAAATCGTTTTACTAAGGGAGAACAATCTCAAGGGATCCTTACCACGGGAAATTGGCAACTTAACTAAGATGCAATTTTTACGTCTTGACAAAAATAGGTTTACATTCAAAGTGATATATAGCAATCTGTATTGAACTAGCTAGCTCTTGGTTAAACTCATATTTTCTTAATGTGTTGCTAGGTGAAATACCCAAGGAGATAAGAAATCTGGTTGAGTTGGAGGTATTTGATGTTGAGTTTAATAGTTTTAGTGGTTCACTTCCAATGGAGATCTTCAACATATCACGACTGAGAATAATTGGTCTTTCAGGCAATAATCTATCAGGAACTCTACCACCAAACATAGGTTCTACCTTACCCAACATTGAACAGCTTTATATGGGTCGCTTAACCAATCTTGTTGGGACTATTCCTCATTCTATCTCCAATTGTTCAAAGCTTACTAATCTAGAGCTTTCACAAAACAAACTCAGTGGCTTGATTCCCAATTCTCTTGGATATTTGACTCATCTAAACTTCCTAAACTTGTGGGGAAACAATTTAACCAGTGATTCATTTTTAAGCTTCCTCACTTCCTTAACCAATTGCACAAGATTAACAACTCTTTCTCTATCTTCCAACCCTCTAAATGCCATGCTTCCAGTCTCCGTAAGGAACTTCTCCAAATCTCTTGTAAAGTTTTATGCCAGTGATTGCAACATCAGAGGCAAGATTCCAAATGAAGTTGGAAACTTAAGCAGCTTATTAGACCTTCAACTTTCTGATAATAACTTGATTGGATCAATTCCTACATCAATTCACAACTTGAGAAACCTTCAGGGCATGTTTTTTGCGTACAACAAACTTACAGGATTTATTGGAGATCATATATGTAAATTGCAGCATTTGGGATATATTTACTTGGGTCAAAACCAACTTTCAGGATCTCTTCCTAATTGTTTAGGGAACATCACTTCTCTTAGACAGATACATATGGGTTCTAATAAATTGAGTTCCAATATACCAACTAGCTTAGGGAATCTTAAAGATTTAGTGGTTCTTGACTTATCGTCGAACAACATGGTTGATTCTTTACCTACAGAAATTGGAAATCTAAAGGCTGTGACAGGGATGGATCTGTCGATGAATCAATTCTCAAATAGAATTCCTAGACAAATTGAGGGATTACAAAATTTGGCGCACCTTTCTTTGAGACACAACAAGTTGCAAGGATCTATACCTGACTCAATGAGCAACATGGTAGGTTTGGAATTCCTAGACATTTCTCATAATAATATATCATGAATCATTCCCATGTCTTTGGAGAAACTACAATACCTCGATTATTTCAATGTTTCATTCAACAAGTTGCGCGGTGAAATACCCTCGAGGGGTCCTTTCAAGAACCTCTCGAGTCAATTTTTCATCAACAATGAAGCATTGTGTGGTTTGTCAAGGTTTAATGTCCCACCATGCCCCACTTCATCAACGCATAGATCAAATAGGAAAAAGATATTGCTAGTTCTATTTCTTTTGCTAGGAATAGCACTTGTATTAGTTCCTATCGCCTTTTCTGTTCCTATGGATAAGGTATAGAAGAGGTAAAAGAGCTCCTCAACAAGCTGATTCATTGTCTATGGCAACAACAGAAAGAATTTCTTACTATGAACTGCTCCAAGCAACTGATTCGCTTAGCGAGAGTAATCTGATTGGTTCTGGAAGTTTTGGCTGTGTTTACAAAGGCGTTCTCAGAAGTGGGACTGCCATTGCAGTTAAACTGTTCAAGCTGCAACTGGAAGCAGCATTCAAGAGTTTCGATACAGAATGTGAAGTTTTGCGCAACCTTCACCATAGGAATCTTGTGAAAGTCATCACCAGTTGCTCCAACCTTGATTTTAAGGCTTTGGTGCTCGCGTATATGCCTAATGGAAGTCTTGACAAGTATTTGTATTCACACAACTACTTCCTAGACATCAGGCAGAGACTAAGTATTATGACAAATGTGGCATGTGCATTGGAATATTTCCATCATGGATGCTCATCTCCCGTGATTCATTGTGATATAAAGCCTAGTAATGTCTTGCTGGATGAGGATATGGTTGCCCACCTAAGCGACTTTGGTATTTCAAAACTGCTTGGTGAAGATGAGAGTGATTTATACACGAAAACCTTAGCAACATTTGGTTATATTGCACCAGGTACGGCTCTTTGTTTTTGCTAATTTGAACATTGATTTTTCGTCTTTTTTTTTTCAATCAAGAAAGTATATTATATCTTTAAATTAATTGTTTGCCTGTAGAGTATGGACTGGATGGATTGGTGTCAATAAAATGTGATGTCTATAGTTACGGGATTATGTTGCTGGAAACATTTACCAGGAGAAAGCCTAGTGATTTTGAGGGAGATCTTAACTTGAAGCAATGGGTGAGTTATTCACTCCCAGAGGCAGTAATGGATGTTGTAGATGCCAACTTGGTAACACCATTGGATAATCACTTACAGAAGAAGCTTGATGTTGTTGCATCAATCATGAAAGTTGCATTAGATTGCTGTGCTGAATCTCCGGCAAGAAGGACAAACATGAAAGATGTTGTAGGGATGCTACAGAAGATCAAGATTCAACTTCTTGCATGCTGAGCATTTTCTCAGAATCTCTTGTTTCAAATCGATCACTTTTTCTGTTTTGCTTTAGCACTTGATTTGTGCATGATTCTGTTTTCAGAAATGCTACTTGGTTGCAATAAATGTCACTGTTTCCTCTTAATGCAAAATGGTAGAACAAGTAAATTGAATGACTAAAACTAAATCGATCCTCTTGAAAATCTTGAAGCAGAATGATCTTTTTGTAAATTGTTAAGAGGAATTATCTATATGAATAGAAATAGGCAAGTAATATAGTAAATGTTTTACATGGGAAACACCAAGAGGGCATATAACATCAAGACAACAAACAAAAAGAGCAATGACAAAAAATGCTATGATTATAATGCCTACATGATTTAAAAAAAACAGAAATAGCTCGATGCACGAGATATGGAGAAGGCTCTCATCCAAGGGTTGTAAATCGTAATGCAGGCAAACTACCTCCACGTAAACATCAATGACTGAATCCACAACTCGAAATCGTGACCTGTAGGTCTCACAGAGGAAACTTTACCCCCACAACTTGTTTTTGTTTTCATATCTTTACCTCTTAAGTCTTGATTTCTTGATTTTCCACTTGTTGTTGCTCATTGCCCAGCCATGTCCAAACTATATCTTTTAATGAAGGCTGTATTCTGCAGTATCTCCTGATTTTTTTGTCACTTGTACAACATGGAAAGCTGGAGTAATCTCAAATATCTCTGCATCAATTGCTAATTGCCCTTTTCTCCCTTCTTTGCTTCCTTGCATTTTCACCGTCCCGTCTTTTTTCTTCACCTGTTGAAGACATAATAAAGTAAATAAAGTTTGTTCATTCTATAATACTAAACTTTTAGCTAAGATGGTCATAAGCTAAAGGTGATCAGATTAAACTTTTAGATGAGATGAACCTACAGGCAAAGTCACATATAGGCTCAAGGGTGGTCAGATGAACATCTTTCACCGATATTATACTATGTATGGGTCATACGTACCTTAAAACTACCCATTGAAGCTACTTCCTCTAGCCTCGAGACAATAGTGGATGCAGACTTTTGTGTCGTGAATCTAGCATCCGACCTATGACTCTTATCTTTCTCGAACAAGCTAGAGAGATCAAAACCAGGAGAAAGAGAAATGATATCGAAAGCACTCAACCAAGTAAGCTTCATTATTGTTGATGAACTCTGTTCTTTGTGTCTTCAAGAACACTCTGCATCCAAATCATCCACAATATCAAAAACACTACGAGGTGAATCATCGTCATGTTCTTGATCCAAAACTAGTGGTTTATCAATTTGTTTGAATCCTTTCTTGAACCAATTATTGTCCATTAGCTTAGCTAATGTGATTCTTGAAAATGGATTTGGATCAAGAATTCTTGAAAGTAGTTTTTTCACTTCATATGGAAAATATTCAGGGCATTTAAATATCCCTTTACTAATTTTCTTATACATTTCCATTAAATTTGTGTCATGAAATGGAAGATAACAATACAAACAAAATCACCCCACATGACCAAATATCCGCCTTTTCGCCATCATATCCTCTCTTATTTATGACCTCTGGCGCAACATATGCTGGAGTTCCACACGTCGTGTGGAGGAGTCCATTTTGTCTTTTCGTATCGAAAAGGGCACTCAACCCAAAATCAGAAACCTTTAGGTTTCCAGTTTCATCGAGAGGTATGTTTTCAGGTTTCAAGTCCCTATGATATACCCCTCGACTATGACAGAAATCAACAGACGCGATTAATTGTTGAAAGTACTTTCGCGCTGCTGATTCCCTAAGCCTCCCTTTAGCAACCTTATTGAATAATTCACCACCTCTAACATATTCCATTGCAAAATAAATTTTTGCTTTGCTAGCCATTACTTCATAAAGTTCAACAACATTTGAATGTCTAATTAATCTCATAACAGAAATTTCACGTTTGATTTGGTCAATTAGGCCAACTTTCAGGACTTTTTCTTTGTCAATTACCTTAACAGCTACAGTTTGTCCTGTTTTTAGGTTCCTTGCATGATAAACTTTGGCAAATGTACCTTGGCCTAACAATTTACCAATCTCATACTTATGCATCAAAATTGTCCCTTTTTTCTCTGTTTTCGCGCTCTTCATGCTCATCATCCTGCAAGAGGATAGATGATGCATCCAAGTGCACGAAGAAATTGAAATTATGGGTGAATCATCGTGTATTCGCCTGGTGATTTCCCCTGGCTAATCATAGGGGGAAATTAGCCAGGGTTAGAGGAGGTGTGTTTGTGTTGGGAAAAATTGAATCCAATGGAATGGAGAAAAAATTATGGAATTTAAAGAATTGGTAGGTTGTTTATAAATTGGTTATTTTTGGAAACAAAAGAAAGATGGTTAAATTATGATATCAAGATTTTGGGTAGTTACTATATATATATAACTAATAAATAAAAATAGAAAAAGTCTATATATATATATATATATATATTTATATTTATATAAATATATTTGTATTTATATCCTATCCTATCCATTCCGTTTTATATGACACTATTTCCGATTAGAAAGTTGAATAACTCTTTCATATGTTTTATTACTGGTATTTTAAACCATATATAAGAAGTTACTTTATCTGTTTCGATTAATATAGTAGTATTTAATTGAGCACGTACGTAGTTTCAATCTTTCAGAAGAAAAATATAATTTTTTGAAACTTATAATTTTAAATCATGTCATGACATCTCGACAGCTATAAAAACATGTGTCACTAATTAAGGGATCATTTCTTGATTAGTGCATGCATGTCATCCTTTGTGCAATATTTATATTCATTGTAAAAAAAAATGTGGAAATTGGTATTATCTCTTTGATAGAGGTGAATTTAGAATTTATGAATTCTGAGCTCTACAGAAAGCAACATATTGAATAAGCGGATTTCTAACACAAAGACTTTTTTGAGTTAAACTATTAAATTTTGTTGAATTCGTACGTAATTAGAATTCTAGTTTTGCCCCTGCCTAACAAAAACAAATAATCCACCTCTCTCTTTAAATTTTTCTAATTCAAATTTCATGCTAGTTCAAAAATCTTTCTTACTTTTTTAAAATTTCGTATCTGATTAAATTCAAACTAAAACACATAAAATAAAATAAAACAGATGAGTAATAAGAAGAAGAGAAGAAACAAACCAAAGATTTGGCATATGTACAACAAATTCAAACATGCATAATAATAACATAGTGTTTTCTATTGAGTTAAATGATCAAACACACATTTAAATTATCTTCATCTTCTTTTTTTTTGAGTTTCACATTTTAACAATTAATTAGTTGTTTTTCTTTTGCTACGTGAATTACACTACCGATGTATTAAAATACACCTCAAAATTGCTTCAACCAATCATCAAATGTTCTCTTTTCCTATCTGAACTATCACCATCTGCTTAACTAGATGTGTTTTAATACTTAGATCGTGATAGTTCATCTAGAAAAAAGAAAGCTGCTGACAACTAAAATATGAAACTCGAAAAAAAGGATAGATTTTGATCACTATCATATATAATAACAACACTAATAATCCCATAGCATAGTTATCTCTAGCTTATTAATTACTATTATGTTCGTGTTCCCTCTTCTTTCCCCATTGTTGCAAACATAGCCTTATTCTCTTTGCTGCTGCTAAGTATTCCACACCTTGAATTGGTGTCA